CTGTATAACTGAGAGAGGACCTCTCATCTAGCTGGAAGCTCAGATGCGGCGAGGCTAGCTAACCAATGAACTACAGGGATCTGCCATCTCACTCCCCGGCACCCGGGATCACAGACATGCATCACCAAGCCAGGTTTTTTTGTGGGTGCTAGGGGTCTGCATTCAGTCCCTCCTGTGTGTGGCGAACATTTCACTCACTGAGCTATCGCCGCAGCCCCTGCGAGGTAATTTTAGTCACAGCCAGTGTGTCGGATAGCCTTTTTTTTTTTGACAACTTGAAACAAACTAGAGTCATCTAGGAAAAGGGACTGTCAGCCGAGGAGCAGTCTCCATCAGACCGGCCAGCAGGGAAGCCTGTGGGCCATTTTCTTGATTGATGTTGATGGAGGAGGGTCCAGCCCGCTATGGGTAGTACCACCTGTGGGCAGATGGACCTGAGTTGCATAAAAAAAGCAAGCTGAGGGCCTGGAGGGATGGCTCAGTGGTTAAGAACACTGGCTGCTTTCCCACAGGACTCGGGTTCCATCCCTAGTACTCACATGGCAGTCCACCCACAGCTCTAACTCCAGTCCCAGGGGATCTGACTATTGGCCTCTGAGGGCAATGCACACATGTGTCACACAGACTTACGTGCAAGACAAATATCCACACACATAAAATTAAAAAAAGAAAGTGTGTGTTTGAAAAAGGGCAAACTGAGCGAGCCCGGGAGAGCAAGTCAGTAAGCGGCGTTCCTCCATGGTCTCTGCATCAGTTCCTGCCTCAGTTTCCCCTGATGAGGGGGGACCAGCTGAAATAAACCCTTTCCTCCCCAAACTGCTTTTGGTCACGGCGTCTTCCTCACAGCCATAGAGAGCAGACGAGGCCAGCCACACAGAAGTCATCACCACAGAAACGGTTGCAGAACTTTATTAAGAAACAGGAGATACAACATAGGCAACTTGAGTCTTCACAGCACAGGCACTTGGTCCTTGGCATCAGAGAGAAGCGGGCGAGGCTGACCCTCAGGCCCTGCCTTCACGCCACCCCCTCCTGGCCCCTGAGATAACCCGCTACAACTTCCCGAAGCTCCAGCTTCTTCTGGTCCTCTTCCCTCCACAGGCCCACCCTCCTCTACTCAGTCACCAAGACACCTCACCGGGTGCATCAGGAGAGAATGACGTCAGTCAATGTTCTCTGCTCCTCCAAGCCCCGGTGTCTGGAAGTCCCTGAAGATCTAACCTTTGCTCCTCCCTGGTGCATTTTGATAAACTAAGTCCCCGGGTCAATCGGATGGGCTGATTCTGGTACCCTCCGTCCAGCCCACTTCTGAACAACCTCAGGCTGCTCTCCCTGGCAGCTTAGCCCCAGCTAGGGTAAGGCAGCTTTCTCCCCATTTCTCAGGTCTGCACCCCTTCTCCATTCCCCAGTGAAAAGACTGTTCCCACCCTCAACTTCCCGGCCAAAGAGAGATGGCCAGGCACCTTGACCCTGGCACCCCTCAATCAAACTCTGCCTCTAGCTCAGATCCCCAACATTATCATTTCCTTAAAAACAACTTTTTAAACACTTCCCTTGACCGTCTGTACCTTCAGAATTGTGCCCATAGGGATTGAGGAAATGATGCCACTTCACAGATAGAACAGGTCCACAGTGAGAGAGCATCATCTTGCCCCACCGCCCTCAGTCATATTTTCTCTAAACTATACAAAGATAGGCCACTCTCGACATTTTTTTTCACTTTCCCAAAATGGCGACAGTAATTGGTCCTCATTGGGAACAGCCGATTCCCAGCCAGCTTGGCGGACGGCCCTGACCCTCAGCCAGCTGGGCTGTTGGTCCCCTGTGCTCCTGTGGTCACTTGTGTGTTTTGGTGAGTGGCTTGTTTGTGTAACCTCTGGAAATTAAAACAAATGTCCCCAGGAGAAGAAGGTTTACAATGTAGCCTTAGCCAGACTTTCTTAGGAATGTTACTTTTCCTTTTCCTTTTTTTTTTTTTTTTTTTGAGACAGGGTTACTCTGTGTAGTCCTGGCTGTCCTGGAACTCACTCTGTAGACCAGGCTGACCTCGAACTCACAGAGATCCACCTGGCTCTGCCTCCCGAGTGCTGGGATTAAAGGCGTGCGCCACTACCAGCCAGAATGTTATTTATTTTTAATTATGTGTATGTGTGTGGCTATATATGTACGTAAGTGCAGGTGTCCTTGGAGGCCAGAAGATGGAGCTAGATCTCCTGGAGCTGGAGTTACAGGCTGTTGTGAGCCACCTGATGTGGGTGCTGGGAATTGAACCCAGATCCTCTGTGAGAGCAGCAAGCACTCTTAACCACAGAGCTACCTCTCCAGCCCTCGTTTTGAGACCAAGTCTCACCCTGTAGCTCAGGCTGGCATGATCTCCACGCTTCAGCCTTCCCAGCATCGGGGTTACGGGTATGCCATCACGCCCAGCTTGCAACTCCTCCCATTCAGGCCTACTCCAATGAAGGAGCAGAGCCATTTGGACATAAAAAACACAGATATGGTCTCTGTTGCCTGCCTCCCTCCCCAAACAACATCGGCCTGTTCCCAATCACATACAACCTGGACCGTTGCAGTCAGGAAGAGAATAATTGATCAAGTAGTTGCTATGTGGTTAAGGTATTGGTTGAAGACAAAGAAGATTCTGAGTCTGGGTGGGATTCACCAGGATTCCCAGGTCAGTTAAGGTGTAGATTTTTACTTCCAAATTATGCTCAAGGCCACCCTCCCCATCACCCTCCACATTCTAGTGTGCGGTGCCTTCCAACTCCCACCCATTTGAGTTCTCACTTCCCTTCATCTTCCAAGGCCCCCCGAAGGCCTTGGTTCTGTCTCTTAAGCATTTGTGGGATTCTCTTTCAGAACCAGGTACCTCCCTCTTCCTGGCACTGGGTACTGAATGCAGGACCACTACCACTGAGCCACACCCCAGCCCCTCACTGGGGGATTCTAGGCAGGGGCTCTACCACTGAGCCACACCCCAGCCCCTCACCGGGGGATTCTAGGCAGGGGCTCTACCACTGAGCCACACCCCAGCCCCTCACTGGGGGATTCTAGGCAGGTGCTCTACCACTGAGCCACACCCCAGCCCCTCACCGGGGGGTTCTAGGCAAGCTCTCTATCCCCAAGCACTCTTTATTTCTCACTCTGAAATATGGTCTAGCCAAGTTACAGAGGCAGGACTACAATCCCCTATCCTCCTGCCTCAGCCTCCCAGTTGCCCCACTACCAGGCCTGGCTCCATTTCTAAAGGCCTCTCACTGCATTAGCCCCCCCTCCCTTCCAGGTTCCTGTGTGCCTCTGCAGCGCTGCCGCTACCCTAAACGGCACAGAAACCCCTAGAACCTTGTCCCTTGCTCCCTCTTCTAAAAGAAGCTAGAAAACCACAATCCTGTTTCTGAAGTCTCGCCTTAGAAGGCGCAACAGTGCCCCCTACTGGAGACTTCCCATCAGCCAAGATTTCTACACAATTTGGCTTAAAAGGTTGTGGCCGAACGGTCTGACCCCCTCTCTACATGTTAATTCATTTCACAGACGTTTATTGAGACTTACAGTTGGCCATCACGCTACCTGAAGAGACTCAGGACAACACACACACACTATCTGGGCCTTCATACAACTCCTCGGGTCCCACCCCGATCTGTAACCCCACCACTTGGTCTGGATGGGTCCGGAGAATTCAGCCAGACTTCCCGAACGAACACTGGGGACTTCACAGCCATCCTGTCACCTGTGGAGACCACCCGGCCTCGAAATAACAATCCTCCTCCGGCCCTCATCCTGCTCGCTAGAGTTACCGGAGCGCACTACCACATCTGGCCCAGTGGTTAGTTATTCTTAAATAGTATTTATAGAAGCATATTTTCTTGAAGTACTCAAGCATATAATACTCACTGAAAAAGAAATGTGCAGATGTGAATACCAGCTCAAAATAACTCAAAAAGACGTAACCTCCGAAATCATTGGCTATTTACAGATTAGGAATCCATTGTCTGCTCGGTAGCTATTCGGACACATCTCACCCGCTGACACGTGCAGTCAGAGTGCCCCGGTCAACCACCCTGTTTTTCTTCTGTGTGCAGGCAGGCACCAGGTCTAGGGGACACCAAGTGTCCTTCCCTGTTACCCTCCACCTATAACTTCGACACAGGGTCGTTCACTGAATCTGGAGCAACCAAGCCCTGACTCTGCCCCTCCCCACCCCACCCCCCTTATAGCTCTGGTACATGTGGCCACACCTGGCTTTTTGTATGGGTGCCGGGGATTCGAACTCAGGTCCTCGCGCTTGTATAGCAAGCGTTCTTACCCACTGAGCCGGCTCCCCAGCCCCTCACGCCCTCTCTTCTCTCCCCGATGACTGCACCACATACCATTTATTTCTTCCAAATACTTTTCATAGTTGTTATCCACATGAGTTCATTCTTCCAACAGACCCACAGCCTACTCAGCCGCCACCCCACCATGGGGCAGTTAGTTTCCAGTTAATAACAGCAAACATTTTTCTGCTCGTGAATTATTTCTCCAGAATGTATTCCCCAAAGTGGGATAGCATCTCCCCCCCCCCCAGCGCTAGAGAGGGGACAGGAATCAAGGAAGCACCCCACACACACACTGCGCCACTCACTGGGGAATTCTAGATGGACCCTTCAGCCCTCAGCCCCCGGTGGATTCTAGGCAGGCTGAGATTAATGTAGTTTTACAATCATTTAAAAAAAAAATAATAAAACCTGTGGCAAATATTGCCAAATGTCTCTCCGGGAGGCATCGGTTTACAGTGCCAGGAATCTACGTCTTTCTTCAGAACACATTTTTAACTTTATCGCTGGCGCATGCCAGTGGTTTTATTTAGCGAATTCTTTTTCATTTTACCAGTCCTTGCTAGTAGATACCCCCAACCCCCAACCCCGTCCTGGGTGCGTGAACTATTTTGTCTTTGTCCAAACAGGTCTCTTTTTTTAAGGGGTGCACTGGTGATTCAGCTTTTCCTGGTCAAATCAAAATTCCATGTTGTTTTGTAATCCTACTGGATTCCATGGCTTCCTTTGTGCTTTGCATGTATCTTTATATCTGTTTTAGATTTTTTTTTTTTTTGCTTGTTTGTTTGTTTTCAGAGCCAAGGTCTCGTGTAGCCTAGGCTGGTTCTGAATTTGCTATATAGCCAAGGATAACCTTGAACTTCTGATTCTCCTGCTAGGATTACAGGTATGTACTAGACCTGTTTTTATTCAGTGCTGGGGATCAAACCAGAGCTTTGAGTATGCTAGGCAGGCACTCCACCAACTGAGACTACAGCCTCATCTGCCTTTTTGTTTCTGAGGGTCTTACTGCGGAGCCTAGGCTGGCCTCCGACTCACAAGTCTGCTGCCATCTCCTGGGTCCTGGGATCACAGACTCGCCCCACCCCGTCCAGTGTTTAAAATTTATATGTGCTCAAAGTTGATCATCTGGACACTGGTGATTTCCTGTGCTGGTTTCTACAAACAGGAAATGTGCCCCCTCCAAAGACATCCTTTCTCCACCCCTACACTTTTTATCCGGACTTGTCCCAAAGCCCCCGATCCACTATGTCATCGTCACCCCTAAGTTTCTCTTCAGCGTCATTTCTCCACAGCCCCCAGCCACACACGTCGTCTCTACCATCTCCGTTCCAAAGCTGCCTCCACAGATCAAAGGGCCGTGGTAGCTGCTGCTTACCTCCATCTGTATCCATCTCTAGATTTTTACATCCCCCATCGTACTTCCCCCCCGCCCGTGCCCCTACGGTGACTTCCCAGATTCTGCTTGGCACCCCAATCCCAACCTGGCCTTTAGGCTTCAGTGGCTTCCCCGCCCCATCCCGTCACAGAAAGACCTCACTTTACTTCATTCACATAAAGGCGAACATTTTCTGAAAAGGAATTTTGCCCAGAAAGCTAAGGAAAAGCAATAAATAAGATCCTAGGAAACATACAGAAAGCATCAGAAAGGTATTAGATTATGGAGATTCATACCCTATTGAAATGTCTCTTCTGATTGGCTCAACTGTATTTAGCTGTTTTCTTTATATATATCTATCTAACATTCTATATTAAAGATCCCATGGTTTTTTTGTGTGTATAAAATCCCACTGTTTGCATCCAACCATCACTACCATTTCCCCCACTGAGCCCCATAATGGTCTTAAAAAGAAATATGGTGTTTCTCCTATTTGAGGGCTAAGGAAACATGGCTGAGTCTTTATGGACCTTGAAATGCGGTGACACCGTTCCTCCCCGAATCTCTGCCTCCACCCCCACCCCAGTGCGGAGATGTGTGTCATTTGTGCCTCTGCTAAGGTGAGCTGAGGTGTGGGGGCAGGGCGGCAGGCCGCTCGCGCCTCCAACTTTACCTGGGTGAGGTGCTCGGCCAGCGCTGTGTTAGGCAAACCGGGATTCACCGTCCTTCTTGGTGTGGGTGCCTGTGATCTTGCAGGTGATGGCAGGGGAAGAGCTGGGGTGTCCGTGCAGATCTTGTAGGTGGTCTTGTCCTAGCCAGGCACCTACTCAACATCGTTCTTGCTCACTGTAGCCACGCCCACATGTCCACAGTGCCATTGAGGTCGCCACCCTTCACAGCCTGCAGGGCAGCGGTCAGGGAGTCCTCCACCCTTACCACCACCCAGGTGAGGTCACTGGCCAGCACACCGTCACAATGGCCCGCATCTCGGACTCCAAGGCCTGAAATCTGCTGAAGTCCTGGGTCTGTTAAGAGTCCCTGCATTTCCCCAAGGCCCAGGACAATGGCCAGGAAGGATCTGATGCTCCCTTACCATCTTCTGACATTTACTCTGGCTTCCGAAGACAATTGGGCATCTCCTTTTTGAAGGGATGGATGATGCAGGCACAGACCTTGGCCAGCCTGGCCACTCACTGGGTCACTGGGCTTCCTGAGGGCCGCAGTTCAGGTGGATTCTGCTCTCCTGACCCGAAGAACTTCTGGTCGTCAGACCAGCACTAGTTGACGTAAACTTGGACCACCGTGGGGGGGGGGGCGATGGGCTTCCCCAGCAACCACAAACACCCCCACCCCGTCAGCTGCTGCATCTCAATCCAGTGAGCCTCACTCGGCACCATGTGGGTCTTATTGTCATGGTTTCTGGGGGCTGGTGTCTGAGAACTCGCGAGAGGTCTGGCTTGTGGGCATTGGAGGGCAGGATGACGCAGTCCGTGCACTTGGTGGAGCACTCAAGGACAATCACAAAGTCACAGCCCTGCCGATGCACACCTCTCTGGACAGGATCCCACCAGCGTTGATGCCGACACCTCTCAGCCACCCTCTAGAAGGTTAAGCTCCCCTCACAGTGGGCATCCTCACTGATCCAGCTTAACATGTGGCCACCAGAGATGGAGCTTCTGTGAGACAGGCTGGTGCGTGAGAGTTGGGAGAGGAGTCCAGCCCTTTACACACAGTCTCTGTAGGTAGCACAGGCTTAATTAAGCTCAAATGTATGATCCTCCTGCCTCAGCTTCCCAAGTGCTGGGATTACAGGTGTGCTGTGATGCCACACCTGGCTTTAACCTCACATCTATAGCCTCCCCGATTGTACCTGTACTCCCTGACCTCTGACACCTTAAAACCCACCCCATACACTTCACTAAGGGAGTCTCTACTCCTTGATGGTGGTTGGCAGAACACAGCAACGTTATCGCCATTCTAGATCTCTGGCATCTTGTGACCCCATGTGCCCCTGTGAGAATGGCCAGTTTTCACCCCATTTCCACCACGCCCACCATGTCTTTGACATATACTGGGTCTTTTTTTGCTTGGAGAATGACGTAAGTCATCTCCCTAGGAGACGCTCTTTCATCTACTCCATCCATCTTTCTTTCTTTTTTTTTTTTTTTGGTTTTTCGAGACAGGGTTTCTCTGTAGTTTTGCGCCTTTCCTGGATCTCACTCTGTAGACCAGGCTGGCCTCGAATTCACAAAGATCCGCCTGGCTCTGCCTCCCGAGTGCTGGGATTAAAGGCGTGAACCCCCCCCACTACCCACCCCCGGCCTACTCCATCTATCTTTTCCCCCCCAAGGAGGAGGGTACATCTAGGAATTGACCTCAGGACTTCCTGCAGGCTAGACAAGCCCTCTACCAGAGCCACGCCCCCAGGCCCTCGGTGGAGATTCTGGGCAGGTGCTCCAGCCCTGAACCACACCACCCACTCCTCATTGGTAGAATCTAGGCAGGCGCTCTACTATTGAGCCATACCCCCGCTCCCCAGACCCTCATTTGTGAGTTCTAGGCAAGTGCTCTACAGAGTCATGACCCCCATCTCAGGAATGGTTTTGAAGACGGCAAATCAAGAATCACTTATAAATCTCAAGACACCTAAACTACACAGCATCAGCCGCAGCTGCGGGCATCAGTGAAAAAAGCAAGCGGTTTGGTTGACTTCTGGCACCGGCCGTGTGCCCCTGAGATTACGGCCACATCACCACTACCGCTCCTGGAATCTTCTATCCCTATACCTCAATCACAGAAGGAGCAAGCATTTTGTCAGCTGGGAAAATGCCCTCGGCTACGTCATCTCCCTCCCTTCCCGCCTGCCCCTCCCCCCGTCCCAGCCCCGAGCCCCCTTAACTGTCGGGGAACCTGACCCTAAACACATGGATAGTCCCGTTACTCAGGGACACCACCAGATACTTGCCGTCTACCATGGTGGTTACCCGGGGCTTCTCCAGGCCATGATACGCTGTTAGGAAGTCACCAAGAAGTGACCCCTTGGGGTCCAGGATGACCACCTTGTTGACCTCCCGAAGGGTCAGAAATATGTAGCCTTTCTTATCCACAGAGACAGAACCTGGCTGGCAGCCATGTAAACCAGGGCCCTTGTATTCCCATATCACCTGGCCGAGCCCATCGCAGAAAACCACGCTGTTTTGCTGCCAATCGGACCCTACAAAATTGCCCTGGGGGCTGGTGGTCAGGAACACCAGTGCCCGCTGGCCCCGGCTAGCCTTGCCTCCAGGGATGAACCGGGTGGCCAGGCTGCCGTCCTTCTTGTACACCTCCACGTGGCCTGCCACACTGACCGCGACCCGGTCTCCACAGGGCATCGCGGCCACGGCGTGGCTGGACTGGGTGAGGCTCAGGGATCTTCGCCATTGAACGTCCCCCTCGGGACTGACGAGGTAGAGCCTCGCATTGGCGGAGAAAGCCACTGCGTTCTGCAGGGCAGCCACGCTGCACGGGGAGCTGCTGTCGGGAACCGGCACTGTGCCCTTGTAGTCGCCATTGAGGGAGAAGCGTTTCAAGACCCGGTTCTGCTCATCCGCCACCAGGATCTCCTGGGGGCCGTAGGGACAGAGCCCGGTGATGCGTGGGGAACGTTTGTCTCCGGGCATCCTCGTGGGGAAACTCCAGGAGAAAACAGGCCGAGGGAGGAGGCTTGAACCTTCGAGGTTTGGCCTCAGGATGGGGCTGGGCTCCCGAGAAACGGGCTTGCCCCGTCCTTTGCCCTTCTTCTTCTTGTTAGATCTGTTACCCCTTTCGATTTGGACCTCATCATCCTCTTGGGAGCTCTGGGTTTTGCCTTCTTTGGGAGTCGAGGCTCCATCCTTACTCAGGGGCTGGGTGTCACCCTGCTTCCCCGCCTTGGCTCTCTCCTCGCCTTGGCTGGGAGCCTCATCTCCTCCTTGGGTCCCGGCTCCACCCTTCGCATTGAACTTCTGGGATTGTTCCGGCTCCTCAAAGGAAAGTCGAAGCAGGTGGCAGTTCTTGTCCTGGAGCCCAGGATGGAGGTCCAGCTTGGGCAGCAGACAGCGGGTAGGCCCGGGGGTCCAGGGACAGTCTTGAAGCTGGCGCAGGCGCTGCGTGATGGCTTCCTCCAGCGAAAGGATCTCCGCCTCCAGACCCAGGCTGAGCACTCGGCGGGCAAAGGCAGCAGCCGCCTTGGCCACTTGCTCCTGGCCCTCGATCTTGGTCAGCCTCTCCCTGGTAGCCTCCTCCGCAGCCTCCACGTGGGCCCGGAGCTGCCCCAGCACTTCCTGCTTCTGGGCCAGCAGGGCCTTGAGGATTCGCTCAGCCGCCTCCTCCACCTGCGTCCCCACGCTGGCTGCCTGCTCTCGCAGCTGGGCTAAGGCTTCCTTTTCTGCCACCCGGGTGGCCTCGAGCTCCGTCAGATTGCTGTCCACACCAGCCAATAGCTCCTCGAGGCCCGGCTTCCGGGAACGCACCGCCTCCGCCAGGGGCAAGCAGGGGTGATCCAGATGCGGCCCCAGACGGCAGTCCTTGCAGAGGAGCTGAGAACACGGCTGGCAGAGGAAGAGGAGCGTTTCCCCCGGGTGCTGGGGGCACTGGGATGCCTGGCGCTCGCGAGCCTCTTCGTCATACCACCCGGCTCTGTAACCCACCAAGTCAACGACTCGGTGCTTATGGGTCTGGCGGGAGCAGCGATGGCCGTCGGCACAGGCCTGGCACAGGTCGTCCGCGCAGTCCAGGCACCGGGCTGTGGCGGGTCCTCCAGAGCTCTTGCCTCCCACCAGAGGGCACAGCGCGCAGGTGGGCTTCTCTGAATGCATGTCTCCGGGAGCCCTGGCCTTGACGAGGTCCAAAAGCCCATTGACAAAGAAGTTGGTCTTGAAGGCGGCCACACCCTCGGGAGGAACAGGCACGATCTCCCGACACTCGGGGCAGCGGACCTGGCCACCGACGTCCAGCTGGGCCAGACAGTCCTGGCAATAGGTATGTAGGCATGGCAGGGTCTTGGGCATGTGCAGCTGCTCCAGGCAGATTTTACAGGCTAGGAAATCGCTGCTCAGAGCCTCCAGCAGAGTAGGGGAGGAGACTTTGGAGACCATACTGTAAGGGAAGGGGCAGGGGTCAGAGGCACCCTGGCCACGCCCCCACCTTGGTCCCCGCCCCCTTCAGCCTGCCCCCTCCCCTACTCTTGGCTGGTCTCCCCACTCACCTGGAAGGCTGGGAAGTTCTGGCTTCTGGGAGACACTGGATACTCGGGGAAGGAGGTCTTTCTTCCACCTCGTCCTCTTTACACTCAACCAAATGTAAACATGCAAAAGCTGTAGGTAGCGCCGATCCTGTGGAAAAAAATGAGACGAGGAAGGCCCCAGGCCTCAGAGATGGAAAAATCTAATTATTAACACACCAGGTCTTGGGCCAAAGGTAAGGGTAGCCCAAGCCCTTCCGGCCTCACGTAGCCCAGACTGGCCACGACGTTGCTATGTAACCGAGGATGACCTTGAACTTCTGAACTTCCTGCCCCTGCTTCCTGAGCCCTGGGATTACAGGTGTGTGCCAGCACACCAGTTTTTATGTAGCACTGGGGATGGACTTTAGGGCGTCTTGCATGCTGGGCAAGCACTCTAACAAGTGAGCCACACTCCCAGGTTCTGGAGTGAGGCCTGTGCTGCCCCTGCCTCAGCCTCCTGAGCGCTGAAATTACAGGCATGCACCACGATAACATGAATCTTAAAAGGTCTTATAATAAAAAACCCAGAGCCAGATATCGGGATGAAAGCTGAAAGATCAGAGAAGCAGAGTGGCCAGCCACTAGTTCTTACCTCTACGACATCCTCAGTCTACGGAGTGCTAGTATCCTCGTGCTTTATAAACCTTTCTCTGCCCTGCCATCCTAGTTCCTGAAATTAAAGGTGTGTGCCACCACTGCCTGACTAATTTAGTGGCTAGCTCTGTCCTCGGATCCCCAGACAAGCTTTATTGGGGTACACAGTATATCACCACACACCACGTTTATCTTGGTGTGGGGTTCTGTTATGAGTGGATACTAGCGGTCTGGCTGCGCAGAAGCACCGGATTTTCAATGTCGGGACAGGGTTCTACAGCCTTGGTTCCCTTTTCTGTCCATCTGTCTGGGAGAGTGTCCTGGGAGGGTAGGAAGTCCTACTTCCTGCCCCAACTATTTTTGAAAGTAATTCCAGAACAAGACAAAGGCTGGGGGGTGGGGGAGTTCATCTCCTTTCCTTCTCCTGGACCTCGGAGCCGTGGAGATCTGGCCTTGACCCCTGGAGTCATCTGATTTTACCCTCTCCTACCAAATGCATCCTAGAAACTTCCGGAGGGAAGGCATTGCGAGTCCCCAGCACGGTGGGGACTTAATAAAGAAAGCAGGTAGAATCCTCGCACTCAGGAGGCTGAGGCAGGAAGACCGCCAGGAATTCACGGCTAGCCTTGGTTACAAAAGGCGTTTGGGGATCCTATGGCTACAGTGCTGAGTTCTGGCTGAGCAACAGAGCGAGACCCAGCCGAGAGAGAGAGAGAGAGAGAGAGAGAGAGAGAGAGAGAGAGAGAGAGAGAGAGACAAGTAAATAGGATTGATTGATTGATTGCACTTCCCTTTTCCCCCCGGGGTTGGGAGGGGAAGCTCGGGGGTGGGGGTGCGGCTGTCGGTACTCAGGACTCCCCACACAGGGCGGGAGGCTGAGGCACAGGGCCCGCCACCTGCCTCCTCCTCTCGGGCCTTCCAGGTCCCCCTGCTCTCTCCCCTCCCTCCCTCCTCCTCTCCCGGGCTTTCTCACTCCCCTCCCCTCCCCCCAGCCTCGTCTTTCTGGGTCCCGGCTCCCCCCCCCCCCCCCCCCCCCCCCCCCCCCCCCCCCCCGATCTCTCCTTACCCAGCCACTGCTGAACTTGGACTCCCGCAGCAGGGCCCGGGGAGCCCCGAAATCCCGCCACGGCCGGCAGCCGACTACCTGCCTGCAAGGGAAACAAAACTGAAAGTAGCCGTGAAGGGCTGCAACTTCCGTCCCCGGCCCGGGACAGCCACTCCGGGGCTCAAGCCCCGCCTTCCTCCCCACCCCACCCCGGGACGCTCGCTCCCAGGCCGGCCCGGGCTGTGAGGCTGGACCCCCTTCCCAAAGGAAGGTCTGGCGGCCACAGGCCAGGGCGCCCGGTGGCCCCCGCTGTCAGCTTGAGTGAGTGTGTGTGTGTAGCAAGCAAGACGCACTGCCCCAGGGCAGGTTCTCTGAGCCTGTTTATTGGGTGGGATGTTTATGTGTGGGAAGGAATGACAGATGGGTGATCCGGCCAGTGGGCGAGGCTCCTCCGTTAACCGCAGTTGAAGCTGTGAGCCCCAGATAAGAACACTTTCCAGGGTTTTAGGGCAGGCTTCCAGGAGGCTCTATCTAGAGAGAGATTTGAGGAGGTTCCCGGGGCAAGGGCTTTCTGAGAGCAACAGGTGTGTGTTGGGGGTGGGGGTGGGGGACGACACGATCAGAGGAGTGAGATCCAAAATCCTCAGTCAAGTGTGGTGGGCACAGCTGTAATCCCAGCACTTGGGAGGTGGAGGCAGGAAGATCAGAGGTTTGATGTCAGCCTCAGCTACTTAGTTAAGTTTAAAGGCTTGTGGGAGCTGCTGGAGCCCCTGTGTGGAAAAAAGGATTACACAGACCCCCCCCCCACACACACACACACAGGAGCGTCTGTAGGATGATGTGTGCGAAGGAGACATTGTGAACCGGGGCAGATGAGGCTGTGGAGGGAGGGACTGACATGGTCGGATGCCACAGGCCAGGTAGTCAGTCAGAATGAGGAGAGGAAATCATTCAGGTGGTACCTGACTTGAGATAGTTCACCTTGACCATCTTTCCACTCCCCCCCCCCCCCCCACTGCTTCACGGTGGTGTAAAAGCAACACATTCAGTCAAAACTGTACGTTTGTTGTTGTTGTTGTTATCTGTTTATTTAGACAAGGTCTTGCTGTATTGCATAGGCTAGCCTCAAATTCAGGATCCTTCTGCCCTGGCCTCCTAAGTGTTGGGATTACAGGTGTGCACTATGACACTCCATCTTTGAATTTTGATATTCAGAAAAAAAAAAAATCAAACAACCATTCTAAGGGGAAGGCCTGGAGAAGTCAGCATAGAAAGAAAAAGGAAATTCACAAACGGACATAACATCATGAATGTAGTAAATCAATACAATTAATGTAATTAATGATTACATTAAATATAATTATGAAATAAATAATGCGAATGTAATCAATGAATACCACAAATGTAATTAATATCATGAGTGCAATTAAAATAAATAAATAAATAGAAGGAAATTAAGGGCGTATGGCGGTGGACTGGGGATGTGTCTCAGTTGGCAGAGTGCCTGCCTAGCCTGCACAAGGCCCTGGGTTCCATCCACCACATCAACTAGCTGTGGCGGTGCACACTTGTGACCCCAGCACGTGGGAGGTGGAGGCTAGAAGTCACGCTCCGTATGCAGCAAATTCCAGGCCAGCCTGAGACCCGTGAGACCCTGTCTCAAACAAACACAAGAGGGTGTGGACTTTGGCGCACGGGGCAGGAAGAGTCGCCCGCTCCCAAGTCTGATGAAAGCTTCTTGCCAGCTGAAAAGCAAGAATTTCAGCAGAGCTAGTACCTTTTCTGTGACGGCCACCCAACTCAAAGACCATCCTGGTAGCTGGAGACACAGTAATAGAGATTTCAAATAACTGTGTTAAAAGAGGGGCTGGCAAGAGGGCTCAGCAAATGAAGGGGCTTGCCACCAAGCCTGAGGACCCGAGTTCAGTCCCCAGAACCCACATGCTAGAAGGAGGGAATCGACTCCCGTAAGCTGTTCTCAGACCCCCACACCTAGGCCACATTTGTGTGTCCACGCACATTAATAATCAAGTTAAACTCTTAAGGTATGTCAACATAGCCATGAACTTGGCTTAAGGCCTGAAAGGCAGGACCTAGCACCGCCTTTCTCCTCTCCCAGCCAGCCTGTAACTGTCAGAAACCACAGCAGGCCTTCTACTGTTTGTGTTTTAATCCCTTGTGCAAGCCTTGGGAGCCGTGGTTTTACCTTGTAGCTTGTGATCCTACCCCAGCGCCTCCTCCAGAGGCACCCCGCAACCTCATCTACAGAGAAAGGGCAAAGATAAAGAAGGGGGGTCCACTTCGAGATCTTTGACAGCAATTAACCATGCAGCTCACACAGGATTGAGCCTGTATGATAATGAGTATTCAGAGACGGGTAATACCTGGGGGGGGCACTCAACAACCTAAGACAGAGTGCCTGTGTGGCCTGGGCAGGCGTCTCCATGACGGGTAAGGTGACCTGCTGATGTCCCACGCAACCTAAGTCAGAAGCTCATTTTTTAGTAAAAGGGGGATCTGTAGGGCCCTGGCCCCTGTTTTGGGTAACTATTGCCTTGCTTGCGGACTTTGACCTTGATATCATCCCAATGCTAATTCCCTGCCAGGTTCCACCCTCCTGAATGCTTAAGGGAAGTTCCTTGTCTGTGTATCCTGCATAATGGGCGTTAACAGCTTAGATGCAAGATTGTAAAATATCGACAGCGAACTTCTGCCCTCAGGGGTTCTCCCATTGTGCTGTAAGCCTGTATTTAAGACCTCCTCCCTCCTTCAATAAACAGGATTCGGCATTAAAAAAAGAAGAAGAAGAAGAAGCGGAGGGTCCCTTAGATGCCTTTTGGATGGGTCCACCAGGTAGCAGCAGGCTCACACAGACCGAGAGGGGGCACAGGCACAGGTGGGCCTCTCCAGACTTCCCTATTCTCTTCTCTTCTTTCCTTTCCTCTTCTCTCCCCTCCTCTCTCCCTCCCCTTCCCTTTCTCTCCTCTCCCCTTACTTTTTCCCCAGTCTTATTCTTTCCGGACAGTCTCCACTTAGCCCAGGCTAGCATGAAATTCAGTATGTTATCCAGGCTTGAGCTTGGAAGTCCCCTGCCTCAGCCTCGCAAGTTTCTGGTGTCCCAGGGTCCAACCAGGCTTAATTTGGGTTTAATTTACCCTTCTCTGTTGCTCTAATTTTAAATGGTCTTATAATTTAAAAAACACAGAGCCAGATATTGGGGTAAATGCTGAAAGATCAGAGAGACAAAGGAACAATCCACAGCCAACTCAGCTCACCAACTCCACGAATCCTCGGACTGAAAGCCCCTGAGTCCTCAGCCGAAAGGTCTCAGCTGGACTGCCTTAGTCTCTGTCTCCTCACGCCTTATCTACCTTCCTCTGCCCTGCCGTCACTTCCTGGGATTAAAGGAGTGTGTGCTTTCCAGCACTGGGATTAAAGGTGCCCACTGTGGAACCAAAATAAGACCAAAATGCTCTCACCCCAAAACTAAAGGCCTAAGACTGTTCCTTTTAGCTACAGGCCAGAAGTTACTGGAACAGGCCAGAAGTTACTGAGACCAGTCAGTTCAGATTCCAGAAACCAGGAAGTGTAAAAGTACAGAGCCACAACATAGTCACGAGGTAATGCCTGCCAGACTATAGAATGTCCTCTCCCTGGTTTCCAGGGTAACTGATCACAGAAATGCCTCCACCTGAGGGCAGTCAATGAGAAATGGTGGCGGGCAACCACTCCCTTAGAAGTAATTTCTAGAAGTCCCTAGAAGCGAGCCAATCAGAATTGTACCTGTACTAGCACCCCTAAATGATGTAACCTTGTGATTTTTTTCCCTTTAAAAACTGAGCTTGCAGACAGGTGGGTACTTCCTCCAGCTTCCACTGCGTTGGATCTGTTGGATGAAGTCCCTGCCTAGGCTTGTATTGCTTTTGGATATCCACGATTAAACCTTGCTTTTGCATTCCGGCATGCTCGTCTTTGGTGGTCTCTCTGGGGGTCACGATCTGGGCACAACACCCACCACTGTCTGGCTCTGTTTCCAATATGGCCTTGAACTCACAGAGATCCAGACAGATCTCTGCCTCCCGAGTGACAGGATGAAGGGTGTGTGCCCCCACTGTCCGGCCTCTGTGTCTAATCTAGTGGCTGGCTGTCCTCTGATCCCCAGGGAAGTTTATTAGAGTCCGCAGCATATCACCACTCTTCTTTGAGTTTCTTGAGGTGAAAGGTTAGATTATCGATCTTTGATCTTTCTTTTCTTATCATTTTAAATTGTTTTACTTACTCATCCATTTGTTTACTTGTTATTTGTGCTCAAACACGCCATGTTTGGGGCTTCAGGGGATAACTTGTAAGGGTGACTTCTCCCCTTCCACCACAGGGGCGGGGCGGGGTGGGGCGGGGTGGGGCAGGGGCACAGGGATCGAACTCAGGTTGTCAGGCTTGGTGGCAAGCACCTGTGTCCCCTAAGCCGTCCTATCAGCCCCTCTTAGTTCTTCTTTTCTGAAATAAGCCTTTAAAGCTGTACGCTGACCTCGAAGCCTTGCTTTATCTGCTGCAGTCTAAGCTGGTCAACGTTCACTACCTAGCTCTCGGAGGGGACAAAAAATTCACCGCTTATTGCATGTGCAAATTCTGGGGGTTG